CCTGGCTCCTCCCACATTGCTGCCAATGACACAGTTGTCTGTCTCTAGGACCAAATACCACTCACTTGTGTCTACACATGTGCCACATTTTCTCGTCCAGTTGTCTGCTGGTGGGCACTTAGGCTGGCTCTGTGTCTTGGCTGCTGTGAGCAGGACGTGCCTCTAGTCAAGTTTCCCTTCCTCTGGACATATGCCAGGGGTGAGGGGTCGCAGGGTGATTCTGCCTGCAATGTCCTGCTATGTCCTGCAGCGCCTGTGCCCGGCCACCAGCTTCTGTCCCACCAATGACCGAGGTTGCAAGGTGCCCTTCCTCCAGTGCTTGCTAGTGCCTGCCATCTCCTGCCCACGCTCCCCCAAGCCATCTACAGATTCCACGTAATCCCCAACAAAAGTCTACTTGTATGCTTCACAGAAATAGAAAAAAACAATCCAAAAGTCAATGGAACCACCACAGACCCTAAACAGCCAAGGCCTCACACTTCCTGATTTCATACTAAACTCCAGAGTGGCAGTGAACTGACAGATGAGGCCGTGGGTGTAAGAACAGATTTGCTGACCCATGGGACAGAACAGGGAGCCCAGAAACATACTCACATGGATATGTCAGCTACTGCTGACAAAAGCTCTGAGGGTACACACACAATAAGGGGGTACTGGGTCTTCCATACATAGTGCTGGAAAACTGGTATCCACATGCAAGGCAGTGAAATTGGACACTCACCTAACACCATGCACAACATTAACTCCAAGCAAATGAATGTGCTAAATGTAAGACCTGAGACTGTAAAACTAGAAGAAACGCAGGGCAGAGTTCCTTAGTAAGGATTTTCTGGGCCAGGCAAAGCGTTAAAGCAAAACAGATAGTGGGTGGTCTTGAGCCGAAGAGCCAACCCAGCCACGGAGTCATCAGCAAAGGGTGGACAGCCTCAGGGATGGGATACAAGCCCCTAAACACATAAGGAAACTGTACGACTCAGTTGCAAAAAACAGATGGCCCCATCAAAAGGTGGGCAGGGCACCTGTGCAGACATCTTCCCACAGACGCACATGCGGCCAACAGGCACATGAGTGGTGTCAGCCTCATGCGCCACTGGGGAATGCAAGTGACAGCCCCGCAAGATGGCCTCCTGCCTGTGATGGTGGCTGCCCTTGACCCTCACAGAGTTTCGCCATCTCCCCATGCCTGTTTCTGTGCTGGGATCCCACCGGAACACCAGGCTGCACCCAGCACTGTGGCCTAGCCTGCCACTCCTTGGCCCTTGCTGCCGCTCCTTGGCCCTTGCTGCCGCTCCTTGGCCCTTGCTGCCTCTCACACCAACTCCCACACGCATGAGAAGGCTGCTCCAGTCTTCAGAAGCATGTCCCTCCATGAGGCGTGTCTGCCATTTGCTTGCAGTTAACTCAAGGCTCCGCATTTTTTGCAAGAATGTGAGAGTGACACATGTCCTCCCGGGACCCTCATGCACAGAGCCCCACCTCAAGTCCTGTCCCAGCTCCAGCAGGACTCTGGGGGGAGGGCAGCCAGCACCTTTCATGCACTCTGGCCACTGGCCTCCTCTGCCTGTCCTCCCTGCTGAGGCCGAGGCCCTCGAAGGTGTGCTCCGTGCGGATCCTTCAGACCAGTACCTACGCTGCCAGCTGCCATGCGGGGCAGCAGCATCCCACGTGGTGCCAGGTCTCCCAGCTGGCTCCAGGGTAGGGTGGCTGGGGCAGGCCTCCTCCAAGGCTCTGTGCAGGGCCCTCTGGGGCCAGAAGAGCAAGTGTGTTTAGGCTGTGGGATAGGGTGTGCCTTCCCCTCCCTGTCTGCCAGCATGACTTATGGGGAGCCACTCAGTGCACGGGGCACTTAGCACACTCCAGGCCCCACAGCCACAGGTGCTGGGTTCGAGCAGGCCACCAAGCCTGGAGCAGAAGACTGAGGGGACTGGGGGACAGAGGTGCTTGCCTTGATGCCAGCATCACCACGGCTGCCCTTGGGAGTAGAAGGTCATCCCTTCCTGCCAAGCAATGAGCTCTTCTACTTCCACTGAGGAAGCTGGATAATACCCAGTGTGAGGCTGTACCACGTAATTACACCTCTTGGTGCACCTGATAGCTTCATCCAGCTGGAACGGACAATCAAATGCCACGGAAGGTGCTCCAGACATGTGATGAGTCTCTGTGCCTGTCAGGCATTGAGGGAACTCGCTCAACTCTTGGCACCTGGAACCTGGTTCAACACAGCCTGGAGGCTGCTCTGCACAGCCTGGCAACCCAGCTTCTCCACCCAGAGTCTGGTTTCTCCACCTGGAGCCCAGCTTTCCTACTGGGAGCCTGGCTTCTCTCTCCAGGCTCTTAGCCTGACACACTGCCTCACCTAGTGGGGCTGCTGTCCACACAAAGCCCTCTGAGACATTTCACACACATTGGAGCATATTAAAGCTAGCCAGGACAGATCTAAATCAAGTTCTAGAGAGAGAGATCTGCAGCCTGGGGGTGCCTGTTCTGTGACTGGAGACAACCAAGAATGTCACTGTTCCACTGAAGGAAGCACGGGAGTGTCTCCCATCTCTGTAATTAAATGGAAAGTGGGCTTGGAACCAGCCCCCCATGTTCCTGTGGGACCTGGACGCAGGACCATGGCTACACTCCTGCTCCAACAGGCCAGAGCCAACGCTGCAGCTGCTCACCTTCTCCCTGGGCTGGGGCCACCCATGCTGGCTCCGGGAGGCTCTCTGAAGACCCCCAAGTCACCGCCCTGTCCCAGGAGGCAGAGTTAGGGAGCCCCCAGTCCTTGGCAAGCCACCAGGGGGTCTGATTGCTGCTCTCGTGAGTGGACAGGCAGGCCACAACCTGCTGCCTCCAGCTGCTCCCAGTGCACCCTCCGGAGCCCTTCCAGAGATAGCCACCATGCCAGACAGTGTCAACACTGAGAGCGGGCTCCTGGAGATTGGGGCTGTGTGCTATGTTCACATAGGAAAACAGGATGGAGATGTGCCAAGAACCCCACAGCCTCAGAAAGCAACGTGCTAGGGATGCCTGGCACCCTGTATTCACAGGGCTGTTGGGTCTTCTCCCTGTAGCCATGAGGCCTGATCACCCCCTTGCTGCCAGAGCTGTGGCAACGTTCTTGGGGCAGGAGCCCCCGGGGCCCAGGCTGACTGCTGCTGCCACCGTGGAGGGCGGCTCACTCCCAGAGCCCTAGTCCTAGGGGCAGGAGAGGCCTGGGATGAGCCCCTCTTTAGGTCTCCTACTGCTGGAGCTGTGCCTGTAGGGGCTGATGCAGAATGTGTCACTGGGGAGACCAGGCAAGTCTGGCCTGGTGAAGGCACAGGGCATGTGCCCCAGGGAGCCTGGCTCACTCAGAACTGGCCTGTCCACCAAGCAGATGTTTCCACACACTGGTCAGGGGATGGCGCAGCAGGGTGCGAGAAACGTGGTGCAGGGCTGGAGGAGGAGGCGGCCGCAGGGGGACAGACAGCTCCAAGCTGAGGGAGGCAGAGAAGCAGGAACCACACCCAGACGCTAATGCACGGACGTGGGATACGAGGCGGGGGCAGGGACCAAGTAGCTCCTCACAACATAGAGCATCGCCATGGGAAGGTCACTTCCCAAACCTGTGGTCAGGTGGTGACAGGAGTGGGACAGTGGAAGTGGCCAGAAGGACAGGTGTGCAGGGCTCAATGGTGCTGGAGGGCCCTGTCCACAGTACATGACTTGGAGTTGGTCACTAGGTCATAGTAGACAACCCGAGCATTCAGATCAGGGCAGGCAGGGAAGGACAGGCACATCCCAGACTGAAGGAGGCCAAGATGGCAGAGGAGGCCAAGATGGCAGAGGATCTGTGGCAAGGCCCAGGCTGGATGGTGAGGCCCTGGCTGCATGGTGTGCCATCTCATGCAGGAGCAGCCTGCTGTCAGGGGAAGAGCTTGCCACCAGGGAAGGAGCCTGCTGTCAGGGGAGGAGGCTGCCACTGGGGGAGGAGCCTGCTGTCTGTGGCAGGAGACTGCCATGGGGGAGCAGGAACTTAGTTCTCTGGGCTGTGCCCAGTCCTTCCATACCTTTCTGATGGAGTCCCCTGATCCCCCAAAACTTAAGTAAACAGATACGTAGACAGCATGTCTGTGTGACAAGCTTTCCAATGTAAAAAGTAGTTTCCAATGATTCTAGTATAAAAATTAAGATCTTGTTAAGAAAGACTGGGAGGTGGGAGAGTGAAGGCTGCAAATTCTCCACTCTGTGCAGACAGAGTCTAAAGCAAACATGTCGCTCTTGGCTTTATGACTCAAATAGTGTTTCTGAAAGTTCAGAGTAACTGTCACTGGAATTAAAGACAGGACGAATGTGTGGTGCCAGAGGTGTGTCTCCAGGGATCCACAGGAGAGCAGAGGCTCAGGGGAGAGCAGCCCAGGCCAGGAGACGGCTTTCGTGGTCTGGAAACGTCACAAGAAGTCACAACAGGAAGCCTGGGCACACCTGGCTTTAGGAGAGATATGCTAAGCCCAGTAAGCTGGCACCCACGAGAGAAGGCGGGGCAGAGGAGGCAGCAGGCGCCATCTTGGAGTGAGCACCACAGCCACATGTCCTTCCACACCTGCCTGCAAGTGCCACGGCCACGTGTCCTTCTATGCCTTCCCATGCGTGCCAATGCACGGTGACAGCAGGCCACTCTCATCATTTGGAAATGCCCTTGGAGATGTCCCAGGTGCCCCAGAAGCCCCAGGAGTGCTGGTGGAGTAAGAGGCAGATCAAGTGGCTCTTCCCCAGTGCCTCCGCGAAAAGGACTGAAAGCTGTGACTGTTTCCCACTGAAAATGACCATGAACATGGTGGGGAAAGCCAGCTGAATCTCGAGTGTACACAATCAAGGCATTGAAGGCATCAGAAGACAGCAGCTGGCCAGGCCAGGTCGACAGAGGACTGCAAGGGCAGGCTGGGAAAGGGGGCAGCACTTGCCCTGCCCAGACACCATGGCATGCTTGGGTGTGTCGTTGCCAAACACACGATGAAAGCTCTACTCACTGCTCCGAGCATGATCCGGAAGATCAGCCACCGGAAGCCCCACACGACGATTTGGGATGGGGGCGTGTGCCTGGGCAGCCTTGACAGCGTCCACAGAGGGCACAAAAATATGCCCAGGAACCCCGTCTCCAGCAGTTGGGACTCCCACCCTAGAACAACAAGAGACATGGAGAGAGTCACATTAACCAAGGCTAAGTGCTTCACAAAGAGATCACAGACGCAGCTCAGTAAAAATGGTACCAAATCAGGCTGGTCTTGCTGCCAGGAGGCAGGAATCCTGCTCTCATCTAAGTGCTGATGGGCATCTCTTGGGACAAGGAGGTGTGTTCATAGGAGGGGGCACCCAGTGCGGGGCTGCATGCAGCCTCAGGTGCCCTCTTCTCTGCATGGACCTGCCACCGAGCGCTACATCCTGGGCATGTGAGTAAAGCCCTTCCCAGGCAGCAGCCTGCCCAGAACATGTTGGCTCTGCTCAGGCTCCCTGAGCAGGCTGGGGGCAGGTGCAAAGGACACAGGACACAGGACACCCTTCATGTGGGCCAGAGCCTACTCTGCCCCATCCCCCCCTGGGGTGAGGGAGCAGGGCATTGGAGCCACAGAGCCAGCCACTGGTGGAACTACACTGCCAACTGCCAGCCCCTAGGGCCTAGTCTGGAGAAGCAGGTGGCTCTCCACTCCACGTGGGGGATAGCAGCTGTCCCCTCCAGCTGGAAACCCTGTGGGAGACACAGGAGAGGGCAGTGCCCAGCTCCATCCTCACAGTCAAGATGGGTGCCTGCGCTCTCCTGAGAGTGAGCTGGGCCCCATCCTGGGCACAGCTGCTGGAAGTGCCCATGGCCCGTGCCTGCTCACACCAGCCCACGTTCCAGGGGTCCTGGGCCTCACTGCCAGGTTCCAAGGACAATCAGATGCTCCCAGTGAACAACGCTGACGTGCATGTGCAAGGAGGGAGAGGGGTGCTGGGGGGGACACGAACAAAGACTGGGGGTCCTAGGGCACTTTTTGTGCTGATCCTGCAACTTTCATGCTCATTAGAAATTATTTTAGAAGTAAAAGCCTGTAAAGAAGTTAGTAAAGCAGGCCTGAGTCATAACCCAAGGTATGAGACAGATGCCTTGGGTCCACAACAGCATAAACACATTAACAGATGAGCCCCCCCACATGTCCCTGGGCCTCTGAAGTCCCCAGGAGGACCCTTAAGTGGGTGGCACACAGCAACCTCCTCCCAAGGAGACAGGCTGTAAGGGGCTGAGCCACGGCATGGGAACACCAACAGCAAGGCCTCCATGGGGCTGTCAAGGTCACCAGTGGCAATGAGGCGAGTGGACGTGAACGCAGCAAGGGCACTCCACATCCGTGCCCCTCCTCCCGAAAACAGTTGCTGCAACTGACTGATAAGATTCCAATAGGGCAGTCTGCAGAGGCCCACTTGCACCTCAGAGCCCTCCAGGTTGCCAACACACAGAGAGGTTGAGACGCTGGCATGGTCCCGTGAAGCCCGAGGAGACGTGATATCTAGGTGTCATGTTGGATCCTGAGTGAGGCCCTGGGACAGCCCTGAGGACAGGTGACTGCGTGTGGGTGTGACACAGAAGTGTGACAAGTGTTCTGCGAGCACAGATACTGAAGGATGGACTGGGTGTGGCGTCGGGGCCATTTTCACAACCTGGGTCCTTTCTGTAAATCTGAACTGGCTGCAAGTGACTCTCTTTCAGAAAGGGAAGCTTGCGCAGAGCCCTTCTCTGCCCTCTTGCCGGCCCAGGGTGCTACAGGCTATGTCCTCACATGTCCCCAGCCCCTCAGGCCCTCAGCCAGCGTCCACCTTCTCTGTCCTGAGGTTCAGTGTCATCGACTATGTCCCCCGAGAGACAAGGATCTGAAACAAATGAGGCAGCCAGTCAGTCATAGGCAGCCCCAACCACCTCCCCTGAGCCCCACTGCTGCCTGACAGAAGCCGTGGTTGGGCGGGGGAGAGCCCAAGGGGCTGCCCAAGGCAAGACAGGCCCTGGCTATCCTGGGAACCTCAGGCGGGTGAGGTGCTGAGATGAGAGTTACATGTAGGTGGCAGCTGCAGCCTTGCGACAGGGTCCTCCTGGGTTCCCCTGGGTCCCACAGTGGGCAGCAGGTACACCCAAGGCCTCCCGTGTTTGCCCAGGACCACACAGCTGTTGTTACTCAAAGGCTGAGAGCTGCGGTCCCAGGGAAAGCCAGCATCCTGGAGATGTGGCAGCTAGGGAAAACCAACCCCACCTGAGCCCAGAGCCCAGGCTTCTCCACCCATCCACGTGGGTGCATGGCCGCTGCTTCAGCAGGGAGCTGCATATCACAGCAATTCCAGTTCCACTGCAGCAGGTCTTAGGACATGCACTGGCAAGCTGACCCGGGCATGGGAGGAGCTGGACCCATGTGGGTGAGCAGAACAAGAACTGTGCAGGCCAAAGCAGGCATGGGTGGCTGCCAAGGAACAAGGATGCACTGTCACCACCAGGTCGCAGATGTGCAGGACATGCAGCCCTCTTACCTCCTCTGAACAGAGGCTGCCCAGGTGCACAGGGAGCTGAGGCTGAGGTCTCTTGCAGTGGGATTCCCTCTGCCCACCCCACCCATGAAGGGAACTGGAGTTTGGTGAGCTGTGGGTCCCTTGTGGGTGTCCTGGGAAAGATAGGGTAGCCACGGCCCACCTGCTTCTGTTTTCCTTGCTTGGACCCCGTGGAGTGTCAGCAGCTGCGCAGTATGCACAAGGGGTGCCACTGTTCTCCACTTTGCTGTGGACGGTGTGTCCCCAGGAAAAATAAGTAACCAGCACCCTGCCAGGGCAGCTTCCAGTGCCAGCACCTGCGGTGCTGATGGCTTCAGCGATCCTGAACAAGACCAAGGGGGCAGCTGCATAGACATGGGACACACATAGCCATGACAAACATGGCAATGTCAACACAGGCAGACTCATCACATGCCCTCCCAGGTACCAGGACATACGCCTCAGCCTGTGCTGTAGAGCTGTGCCGGGCCTCTGCTCTGGAGGACAGACACTTTCCATGGATGCCTCCTGCCCAAGGCAGCGGAGGACAGCTCTTGAGTCCTGCTCCTCCCATTCCTGGGTCAGCTTGCTAGCATGTGCCATGTAGTGCCCACTGAAGTCCTGTTGGGGGCTGGGGGTGAGGAGGCCAGGAAGTAGGCCTGCTGGACTCAGCAGGCAGCTCTTGCGGGTGCATGCCTGCTTCTGGAACTTTCCTCCCCTGTGGCCACCGCTTTCCCTTTACATAACACAGACGTGCACTAGGCTAGTCTTGCTGAGACACTGCAGGCACCAGACAAGGAGGCTCCTCCCACTAGGATGCGGCGGGAGCTCCAAGGCCCATGCTGGACAGCATGACCATTGGTTGGAACATTGGCATGCTTCCTGAGTCAGCTCAGTCTCCCAGGGATGCCCCCAAAGAGGACCCACCTTGGGGAGGGCACAGTGGGAGGAGACAGACAGTGTCCTAAGGCAGGACCACATGGGAACCCACAGACACAGGCAAGGGAATGTGGACAATGAGGGGATTGTGGGTAAGGGTATGCGGGCAAGGGGATGTGGGCAGCGAGGGGATGCAGGCGGCGAGGGGACATGGGTGAGGGGACATGGATGGCAAGGGGACACAGGTGAGGCCTGCTGCCAGGGCAGACACTCGGCCTCACACATGGCCCCAAAGTCTCGAAGTGTAGTGGAGTGTCCACACCGAGTACCTGGAGAGGAAACATGGGGCACAGGCGATGCCACTCAGAGGATTCCAGAAGTGCAAGGTCTGGGAAACATGTTTCTCTATGGGAAACGGGCCATGAAGCCAAGAGTGGCAGTGGCCACACACGCCACCTCAGACCAACTGAGAGGCTGAGCCCAAGGACAGGTACATGCTCACCACCGTGCCCCAGGCTGCCATGGCCACTCCTGGGAAATGGATGAACATTCCACATTTAACGATAACGGATGCTTCAGGACATCCTTCCAGTCCAGGCAGCAAAGGGGGAAAAAGTGGGAAGGCCACCCCCGCGGGGGCAGCAAACCTGGGCAGGTCAAGCAGTGCAAGTCTGCCTACAAGGGACCTGTGCCCAGCCTTCCTGCTCTGGAGATACAGAGATGCCCACTCATGAGGTGAGAGAGAACACATCCATTCCAGCCTCTCAGGTTCAGGACAGAAGGGTCCTCTCCTTCCTTCTTCCCTCAATGGGTGCTGAGGCACATACCACCTGGGGTGGACGTAAACGTGGCTTCCCTGTAGAAACTCCCAAGTGCCAGTCACAGAGTCATGCAGAGACTGAACCAGAGGGCCCATGGTCCTCAATCTAAACCAAAGGCTCTGAGTGCTCCCGCCTCCTCTACTGGCCAGGAAGGGGTGGGATCCAACGCCAGGAGCTCAAGGGGCCTGGTCTCACCATCATGCCCGCTCCTCGACAGTGAGGTCCTGTGTTATATAAACATGTGCTATTAAAATCAACCAAAGGTTCCTGTACAAAACCCGAAACCCACAGGTCATAAGAGAGAAGATAGACAAATGGGACCTT